TATAGACAGCAGTCTGTCCTCTCAGCATCCAATTCATACATTCAGGGCCAGGATTGATTTCTCTAGCTCAGACAATAGAGATGAGCAGAGCTGAATGCTGCAACAGCCAAAGAAGGGCACAAGGCTGTGTATAACAATAACCAGTGCTGTGCAATTCTGTCTTCCTAGAGCTCCATTTCGTATACACTATACCATATTTTGCAACTTCTGTTGCTTGAAAGCACCTTGGTATATGCTAGAACCCTACAACCCCCATACACTTATACAGTGCTGGAACCCTACAACCCCCATACACATATACAGTATGATCTATGTATGACCATAGCATCCTCTCTCCCCCATACACATATACAGTATGATCTATGTAGGACCATGGCATCCTCCCCCATATACTGTATGGTCTATAGATGACCATGGCATCCTCCCCCATATACTGTACGGTCTATAGATGACCATGGTATCCCACCATACACTGTACGGTCTATAGATGACCATGGTATCCCACCATACACTGTACGGTCTATAGATGAACATGGTATCCCACCATACACTGTACGGTCTCTAGATGACCATGGTATCCCACCATACACTGTACGGTCTATAGATGACCATGGTATACCACCATACACTGTACGGTCTATAGATGGTCATGGTATACCACCATACACTGTACGGTCTATAGATGACCATGGTATCCCACCATACACTGTACGGTCTATAGATGACCATGGTATCCCACCATACACTGTACGGTCTATAGATGACCATGGTATCCCACCATACATTGTACCGGCTATAGATGGTCATGGTATCCCACCATACACTGTACGGTCTATAGATGACCATGGTATCCCACCATACACTGTACGGTCTATAGATGACAATGGTATCCCACCATACACTGTACGGTCTATAGATGGTCATGGTATCCCACCATACACTGTACGGTCTCTAGATGGTCATGGTATCCCATCATACACTGTGGTCTTTAGATGAACATGGTATCCCACCATACACTGTACGGTCTATAGATGACCATGGTATCCCCCATACACTGTACGGTCTATAGATGACCATGGTATCCCATCATACACTGTACGATCTATAGATGACCATGGTATCCCATCATACACTGTACGGTCTATAGATGGTCATGGTATCCCACCATACACTGTACGGTCTATAGATGACCATGGTATCCCATCATACACTGTACGGTCTATAGATGGTCATGGTATCCCCCATACCCTGTACGTTCTATAGATGACCATGGTATCCGCCATACACTGTACTGTCTATAGATGGTCATGGTATCCCACATACACTGTACGTTCTATAGATGACCATGGTATCCCCCATACCCTGTACGTTCTATAGATGGTCATGGTATCCCCCATACACTGTACGTTCTATAGATGACCATGGTATCCCACCATACACTGTACGGTCTATAGATGACCATGGTATCTCCATACACTGTACGTTCTATACATGACCATGGTACCTGACATTTGTAGGCAAATTAGCTATAATTTTGTACACACACACACACACACACACACACACACACACACACACACACACTACCATTACTTTCCCTTAGGATCTTAGAAGTGCTGACTTGCTGTACTTCTCTGCGTGATGCATCAGCCTTCAGGACATCTGAGATCATAGTGTCATCTGATTGTGTCTGCTTATAGATGGGCAGATCTTTCGCGGCTAGACCCGGGACATGAACACAGGGGAATGTCTGAGCCCTCCTTTTTAAACTATTATTTTTATTCCAAAGTACAGGTACGACAATAATTGTTCCTCATTTTTACATGGTTCATTATTGTTCTCCAGCATCTCTCAGGTAATAAAAGGTGTCAGGAATGCTCCTACCTGACTCAACAAGTGGAAGAGATCATAAAATGACTGATTGCATTACATGAGTACGGTTTTGTATGGGTGCTCCAACATTGTATTTTAACTTCTAACGTTGCAGCCAGATTGGTGTGACACCCATTGGGATTGCACCATGTGTTAATTGCATGGTATCTATGCTTAGTTGAACCGGCCCTAAACTTGAAGTGCACACTGTCTGCCCTAAGAAAAGGTAAAGATCTCAAGCCTTGGGTGGTACATTGTATGTCAATGCAGTTTTTAAAAAGTCTGCCCCCTAATTGCACATTGCAATCTATTTTAAACAATACAAGCTGCTGGAGCCAGCATGTTGTTAGACCGGTCCCTGGAGCCTCGCTCTTCCTCCACTGCAGTGGTCTATGATCCCCGAGTCATCACATTCTATATGCTGAGGGATATACTATAGCTGCTGCAGAGGAGGAGAGAAGCTGGAGGGAGCACTGTCACAGCCAGCTCAGAGGATCGAGACACAAATGAGCACTTTTCCCTTGCTCTGCGGGGGTAGCACCACTCCAAGGGTTAGGGAAAAGTTTGCCCGGAGTTCTTCTTTAACAATACTAGAGGGGTTTTCCACACATTCAATTTCCAGTCTTAGGATTTCTGCACCATTTACCTCTCTGCTCTCCTGCTCAGTGTTACATTCCCCCACCACTCTGCTCTCCTCCTGTTATGTGGCTGCTTTCCCCTGCTCCTTGTTTGTGATCCAGTACACAGACTGTGAGTGATTGCAAACTTGGGATGTGAAGGAAGTTTATCACCCACACACAGTGTAAGCAGAGTCAGTCAGAGCAGACACAGACAATACGTAGGCAGAATGCATTGTCGGAGCACATACCCTGTTTCCCTGAAAATAAGACCTACCCCCGAAAATAAGACCTAGTGTGTTTTTTTGGAGCCAAAAAAATAAAAGATAGTGTCTTATTTTCGGGGAAACACGGTACAAGTTATGTTCTCACTTTGTTAGGAGTGTGGTGGTGGCGGCGAAATTGCTCTTTCTGCCCATAATGTAGCAATGGCAGAGCAGAGTAGTATTGCTCTGAGCACTTCTGGACACGGGAGACATCAGGGGCCTTTTGGTCGGAGTTTAGCTTTAAAGTGTCGCCTATAGTCAGTGTTGAGTATCGTAATTATTTGTTGTTTCACACAATCTTATGGCTTGACATATCTGTGCTTACATACTCAACAGAGTTTTCCAAAAAAAGAAAAAGGGGGATTATATATGATATTGTGTTTTTTACTGGAAATATAGGTTGGAATCAGAGTTGTGCGACAGAAAAATGTGCATCTACCATCTTTGTTTTCTACAGGTTTCCTCTGTCAGCAAATACAGTATATAGTTATAAACATTAACATTTTATAAATGCTGATGTAAAATGTCACTTTTTGTCATGGTTCTCTGGGGGTGACTGGCTGGGAGTATATAATGCTAAGGGGGGTTAATGGGATTTTTTGTAACATGCTACTTTGTAGAAATGTGGATCATAAACACGGTATTGGGGTCCATTCACAAATCGCACATCCCTCTGTTTACTTTCTTTTTTTCTTTTTTTTTTAGAACTTTATAAAAATTTCACATTCTTTGGGCACAGCGTGGTGTGGCGTGGTTGTACCATGTTGCATCCCACTGCGCTGAAAAAATGACTGCTTGCTGTACTGTTTCCACTACACACCACCGTGAAGCGATGGTGGGAATTGTGCCCATCTATGACAAGGCATATTGCCTTGTTTTGCGTTGGGGCTGCGTTGAGAAAACGACCAGTGCAGCCCCAACGTGTCTGGAGTGAATAGGCCCTTACTGACGATAGTGTAGTTCCTTGTGTGATGGTTACTAAAATATTTGCCTCAGTTTACCAACAATCCCTAGCCAGTTTCAGACCGTTCCGCATTGCTTCATAATATTGCAAGTCACATTTTTGTTTGCGCGGTTTGTTCTGAGCACGCAGCATTGAGAAATAAATGGTGTCCTTTATGTGTCAGCCCTGTTGTTCATTTTATTGTGCACTCAGGTGTGACATTTGGTGTCTCGGAGCATTTGTGTTTCATGTGACCGCAGTAAATACGTTTTCCAGTGGAAAGAGTACAGCGTGACCCCAGCAGCGTGTGCTTAAATCATAGGAAAACAGGCCGGGCGGGGAGTGCTGTCTGCTGAACAAATATTTATTATGAGGGGAGGCCACAAAGAGAAAAAAATCAATCACATTGCCAATGTTATGTTGGTTCTATTCCATCAAATATCCACAAAGTCTATTGTCCTTCTGGTAAATAAATCTGGAAGGTGATCCCCAATATGTGCTTGACGTTTGTTCCTCCATCCACACATAGAAGATAATAGAAGCAATGATGCTGCAACAGAAGCTCCGGGATTGTCTTACTTGCTGTATGCTTTCTGAGTCACAGTAAACAGAGCAGTAGATTTCCATGTTCATTATTCAACAAAGCAATAGATTTCTATCTCCAAAGACACTGCAG